ATATGCGGTTTCTGCGGAATTGAGTCTGGTCCCCACAGGGGCCAGCCGGAATTGGCCAGTCAGACCTGTATAGTACGATTTTCGGCTCACCGTCGGCAAAATACCAGAGTATTCCCGACGGACACACCTATACCCGCGGACACCCGGTCAGACCCCCCTAACCATCCCACCATATGCGGTTCTGCGGAATTGAGTCTGGTCCCCACAGGGGCCAGCCGGAATTGGCCAGATATGACCTGTATAGTACGATTTTCGGCTCACCGTCGGCAAAATACCAGAGTATTCCCGACGGACACACCTATACCCGCGGACACCCGGACACACCATGGAAGACGCTCATTTTTTAGGAATATATCTGATTTTTTTCATCTGAAGTACACTTGATATCGGTTATTCTGGCTAGCCTGAAGAACCAGATATCGATGTGATTAGGAATTTGAATATACATCATGAAATAAATGAATGGTCTTTTGCACAGGTTTTACTGTATCATTTCTGGCTAGCCTGTTCAGCCAGAACCGGATTCCGGCTAGCCGGAGTAGCCGGAACAACCGGATTAAACGAAAATATGTTCCGGCTGCTCCGGCTGTTCCGGCTGTCTGGCTAACTTCACGCACATTAAGTGTACGACATTTATACACACGAATTGTTACATTGTTAGCAACTGGTTTCCATATGTATCCCTGAAATATGACATGATCTGGGTATAACCTATGATGACAACAAATACAATTTCATGATGATTTATCGTACCTAAATTAAAAACGCTAATTTTGTTGCAAAAACCAGAGACTTCAATACATTATATGTCTCGGCAAAACCAACGAAAAACATCGAGAGCCAAAATCTATAAATGACGCGTATTGTATTCCTTGTAGCTTGAAACAAAATTGTATCTAAAATTTCTATTGTTCTATATCTAATCTGTAACACAATTTAAGGTAAAAATCTGTAGTGGAAATGAACAACATGTATCGTTTTCACATTTCCAAAATGATAATCAAAGATAAATTATATTTGATGATAATATACATCATTTTAGAGACTTTTTACTTTTTGCAATGAAACGAATTTCCGGGCCATTGCCGAGTAACATTTTCACTCCATGCCCTGTAATATTAATAAGCAGGAGGAATTTAATAACATTATCTGCCATTGGTCTTAAATAACTTGATGTATGATATCTGTTAATACCTTAATGTATGGGGTAAAATGGTGATTTGGTAAAATAGAAGAGGATTATGATTAAATAATCATTATAATAGTAAACGTTAGTGGAAATCATTTTTCGTTGACATTTTGAAATCGTTTCAATAAATGGTGGGAACAAGAATAAAATAAAAAATAGTCAGCATGGTTTTCGAGATGAGTGTTCTACAACTGATGTCATTTTTCTTCTTCATATTTTATTAAAAAGTTTTATCAAAGAAAGCTAAATTGTGATGTGTATTTATCATCAAGAAACGTTTGATTTTGTTAAGGTACTCTTACTGTAATGCTTTCCCGCCAATTTTTTTCCACAATCTTCGGTATTCAATAATTTTTTACATTTTTAAACCGGAATTTAGTACAAAGCAATAAAGAATCAGTGATTGTAAAGAATATAATGCCAAAGATTTTGAAAAAAAATACGTTCCGGAAAAAACCGATTTGCTACGATATTTGCCAATGTTAGACTTTTTGGCGGGAAAGCATAACAGTACGATGCGGCTTAAATCTGGCATAAGCTTCTGATTAATTAAATGCATATAATCCAACGTTCGAATTTCTGTAAAAATGTCAAGTTGTATGCAAATGTCTGAATGACTGATTTCTCTTTGGGCTTTAAACAAGGAGAGCCATTTTCTCAACTGCATTTTACTCCCCCAATATGACAAAACAAATTTGGATTTCATTTCTTAACAGATTTTTGTTAAATATCTGTCAAAGTATAAAATTGTTTCCGGATATAGTTTTAGTACAATATGGTGTAGTTTTAATTACAACAGATCTTCAAAGATGCCAAATCAAATTATCATAAGAAGTGGAACTGAAAAATAAGTGTAAGTTTGTTAAAAAAAATTGGATACTGTACCAAGATTTTATATTGATTATGCTTTTTACGATGAACTTGGAGAAGTGTCAATTTTTGGTTAACATCATTAAAAATGACCATTTACAGATTATCAATATCTATACAAATATAAAACCGAACATTAATATTCAACGTACAACGCCAACAGAATAAATCTTATTGCAGATGATCTTGGTGCCATCAGGATGAAATTGCACTGTGTTCCTAATGTTATCTATATTCTTTTTATTAATGCGTCAAAAGTTGAGAGGTCACTTTCTTCAACAAGAGCGTTCAGTTATCACATGTGTCGCCTCATGATGGCCAATTTCATGTTGGGACAAATTTTGTGACAGAAGGACAGACAGATGGACAGTGCACAACTAGACTTGGTACTGATCATTCCTGTAAAGTTTGGATAAAATTGCACCAGTAGTTTATGAGGAGTAGTCCGGACAAGCTTTTGTGTATCTGGCAACACACAGAAAAAGAAACCTTTTTATCAAATGGCCATAACTCGGCCAAAAATCATTCAACCGGAAAACCCTTGCAATATGCGCAAGGACTTGAGCTACAGATCAATCCTGTAAAGTTTCATAGAAATTGCATTAGTGGTATAAGAGAAGTAGTCCGGACAAACTTTAAAATTAAAAAATATTAAAGGGCCATAACTCTGCCAAAAATCATTGAACCGGAAAATGTTGACAATATGCACAACTAGACTTGGTACTGATCATTCCTGTAAAGTTTGGATGAAATTGCACCAGTAGTTTATGAGAAGTAGTCCGGACAAGTTTTGTGACGGACGGACAGACAAACAGACAGACAGACGGACAGACAGACGACGGAGAAGTGATCCCTATATGTCGCCACTACTCCGTAGAGGCGACACAAAAATGACGAACAAATATATCCTTCATGTCTAACCTCAACTCCCTTTGATTGCCTTTGACCTTTCTCTTGAAAATAATGATAGTTAAAACAATAATTAGCTAGAGATTATGTTTTCATAAATTGCAAATTGAAGATAACAGATATGAAAATGTTACTATAGAAATGCAGACTATGTAAAATAAATATGCAGTATAAAAGTTGTTGAGTCAGAATGCCATTTTGTTTAAAGTTGTCCGTATTATGTTGACATAAAAAACAACACTTTAGGTTGATTTTATGGCCAACTAAAACATGTTCAATCAATTCATGTCATCAATTTCGGTACGATTTATCTAGGTAAATAAAGTAAGCACTGGATCAACGTTACGTTATACTTGCTAGTTAATCTGTTCTATTTTATTTTGTATTACTTTATTTTGTATTACTTTGTATATTATACTTGGTTTCTGATCTATCATACGCTTTTCTTTGTGATAATATGTTGTGCGTATATCATATGTTTACATTGTACTGTAAATGGTAAAAGGCAAACTTATTACCAATAAACTAAACTAAATGTAAAATGAATATATTACATGGACGAATGAGCGTATATAATTATATCAAACATGCGAGGGTTATATGTCACGTGACTGATTATAATTCCATGTGATTGGATATGTATGTGTTTGGCGGGGATGGGATGGGTTATTTCCAATAATTGCCCTTACAAAATGGTCCCTCTTTAATTTCGGCGTATTCTCGTCCAATCTAGCCCGAGAGACAGGTCTTCGTGTATGCTCGGGTTCCAGAGGAACTATCTTAAAATCTTGATTTAAAAAATCTTCTTCAGTTTTTTGCTTTTCGTCAAAAAATCGAACCTTAGGACCAGGGGTGCCTGCTTCAGAAAATTTTCTCGGGGAAGGAGAACGAAGGAACATTTTTGGTGTTTGTTTATCCGTTATATCAGGCATATCTACAAATAAATCGTCTTCTTCCATTTCTTTTTCAGTTACAGACGGCTTTGGTGTTTCCGCTGCATATTTCTGCGAGTGCAAAAATTACGTCACTTAAAGCAGTTATGTAATATCTGTGGTTGTCCTTACATAATAAAACACTGATACCTCACATATATGTATAGACTATCAAATTATAAACTATAAACTTCCCAAATATTTGTTTAAATGCTTAAAAATATTTGGGGAAAAAAGATTTTTTTTCACTTCACGAAAAAAATAATTTCATGATCAGAATGGATAATGCTTTCTTTTCATGCCAACATTGGCAAATTTGCACAATAAGTGATATATCCATTTATAAATATAAGATTTCTAAAAGAACATTCAGAAAACATGCGTTCTTATATACATTTATCTATATACAAATTTCCCATTGTAGTTTTATTAAATAATCAACCTGTCAGCTTAAATACTATCCTATAATATTGAAAATAATAATTTCTTAATTTCTACTATGTTAAGAGCACAAGCAATTAGCAGTATCAAAATTGTTGACAAAAACTTCATATATAATATTATAGTAATCTATGTAAGTTTTTTTTACATTACATACCCGTCTCAATGAATCATAGAAATCTGTCATATCTCGGTAAACTTGCGGATGTATTGTTCGTCTCCGGGTGTGATTTTTACCCGTATTGATTTTCGGATCTGAAACATACATATTTAACTTTTCTTTATTAAAATTTTGCTATCATCGTCCTATACCCACGATTGATAAACATGTCACATAACATGCAATCAATGATAATGGTTCGGCCGTGGGTATCCGACGATGTTTTGCTATTTGCACTTTAAAATACACTGCATCTGTCTCAATATTTTGTATAGCAATAGTGCAATACAAAACTAAACATCTAATGAAATACCGGAGAAGTCATAAAAACTTAATTATTTTTAATAACTTCACTCTTCTTCAATTATTAATTTAGAAGTTCAATTAACAAAACTTCAATATGTTAATTATGGAAAAAATAAAATTGG